GTAGCTATGACAGACATTGAAACTTTTTAGGAGGCAGGTCACTCAAAGTGACCTGGCGACCTGGAGATCTAAAATTTTCACAATTGTGCGGAAACAATGCACACGGCGTTTTTTAGATACCAGTAAAACGCCTTTTGGGCGAAGAACGAGCGAGCGAGATAGTGAGTCCTGCACGTGCGGAAGGGCGATAGGGTACTTCCAACGGGCTTAACCCGCGCCCTGGTGGGGTCTGTTTATAACGCGACCTGGTGGGGGGGGGGGCTATTTTTTGCCCCCCCTCGTATCTCCGAAACTACTGGACGGATCCGGAAAATTCAAACGGCGTTCGATAGCCCTGTCAAATTTGTCGAGGGAAACCAAATTTCATTGACCTCGGGGTCACCGATGACGTCACAGGTCAGGTCAAAGATGAAATGTTTCACCGTTCACGGGTCATCTAGGGAATGCGCTATAACACCGAAGAAAACGCATTTTGTCGAGAATCAGCGATAGGGCGTCAGTTGCCTAGTACATATATTGCTATAAGAGGTCACTGACATTACCAGGTCAGGTCACAGGTCAGGTCACCAAGGGTCACAGGTCAGGTCACATGAACCTAACTTTAGGTACTAAGGTTGTGCGATGCATGTTTTATGGCCAATTTTTCATTTCCAACTCAATGGTGTTGGTTATAAGACTATCAGGTACGGCTTAGGTCACTTTCTGGTGGAGGTCAGGTCAAGGTCAGGTCAAAAAAGGTCAAATTTCAAATTTGATATTTTTGCATAAAATGGGTATTGATTCGATGCAGCTCGTCACGGGGAGTCTAATGGTGGTCTTTGTTTTGCGCTACGAGGTCTAGAATTGCTAAAAATTGAGTTTGAAAATTTGACGTCATCAATTTTGAACAGTTTTTTCGCTGTAACTTGGCCAAAAAAAGAGGTATCGATCTCAAATTTGGTATGTAGATAGAAGGCGGTAAGGACTATCACATATATTCCGGTTTTTCGAAATTCAAAAAACTTTTTGGATTTTTCGGCTATTATAATCAAAAAATCTATTTTTTGATTTTTGGGGGTCAAAATCCAAGAATTTTAAAAATCCGAGATAGCAGTTTTGTAGCCCTGTCAATTCTACAGCTTTTATGTCTTAATCGTTTTTCTGTATTTGCAAAGCTATAGGCCTGACAGCTCTTCCCGCAAAACCCTTTTTTGGGTCGAAAACGGCAGAACATGACGTCACTCTGACGTCATTTCCGGCCAACCTATCATAGCCTTTGGAAAAAAAATTTTTGGTCACAATGTGTAAAATTGATGTCCGGGAGGGTACTGAAAGTTTGGTGACGATCGGCGCAGCGGTTCTGGAGATATATCGAAAAGTCTGGAGGGGGGGGGGGCAAAAAATAGCCCCCCCCCCACCAGGGCGCGGGTTAAAGCACCCTTCTAACCGGTCGCTAGCGGTGTGCCAAATTTGAACGCAATCGGCCCAGCCGTTCCTGAGATCTGGAAGCGGCATTCTGCACGTGCGCACGTGCAAACGTGGTCCAAAATGACTTTTGCACGGCACCCTACTAACCGGTCCCCAACCGCGTACCAAATTTGAGCGCAATCGGCCCAGCCGTTCTCGAGATCTGGAAACGCCCCCTGCACGTGCGCACGTGCAGTAGCACCCTAACCGCAACACATGGGAATGCATTGTCTGGTGGGTGCCTACCTATATGCCAAGTTTCAGCGAAATCGCCCCAGTAATTACCGAGTTACTGAAATGGGAACCAATTTGGCACCTCTTATTGTTGTATTTTGCACGTGCAGTGGGGGTCACTCACATAGATGAAGAGTATCCGACCTTTGGTAGAAGGGATGCAGCTACCCTATAAAAATGACCGCAAGACAATCGCTCAAGCCGCTGCTGAGATATGGGCCTCTCAAAATCATTACTTTTGCAAAACTGCTTGAACACCCTTGACTTTCCACGTGGCACGTGCCACGGCGGTCACTGAGATGTATCAAAAGTAGTCAATTACGGGGTAGAAGGGATGGGGCTACCCAGCAAAAAAAGACCGCAGGCCATTCGGTCCAGCGGTTGCTGAGATATAAGCCTCTCAAAAGCGTTACAGGCCGGGCCGGGCCGGGCCGGGCCGCTCATACTGAGATTTTTCCGTTATATTGAAAATACTTCGCTTCGCTCGCTGCGCTCGCTCGCTCGTAATTAAAAAAGCGCAGGGGATACTCAAACACTCCTGGCCCGGCGCGGATTAAGTCGAAGACTGCGCTGGCCAGTAGCGGCGGAACACCTTCAATTAAGGGGGGTGGGGGCACTGCCGACTTATGGTCCCATTCTTTCCATGCAACGCCCATAGGGCTAATGTTAACCCGCGCACCGACGGGGGTCTGCGCCAACTTAGAACCGACGGGGGGGGGGGGGCGGATAACCGCCCCCTCCCCCCTGAGATCTCGAGAAGGAAGCAAGATAGCGACAAGCGGTAAACGGCATCGGATACGCACGGACAAGGTCTACAATTTTTACCAAGGTCATTTTCAGGTCAGGTCAAAGATGACGTCACAGGGGTAAAAAAGTCAAAATGGCGGCGCTAGATATGGAGAGCTTTTCTCGAATAACTTTCGAATAAATCAAAATAGGAATAAACTAAGGGCATCATCGTGATCCTCTCGTTAATCCGCATCGACTGATGTATATGTTGACCTCGAAAGGTCAAGGTCAAAGGTTGACCTCAGGTCACTTGACCTCGAGGTCATCATGTATATCATTCGATGCGTCTTGACGAGCTGAACACAATTAGACCATCCGCGCGGCTGTATCTCGTTCCTGTACGGAGTTATTGGCAAAAAACCTTTGGTGACCTTTGATGACGTCACATGACCTTACAGCTGCCCAACAGCAAAACAGACCTCAAGGTAGTGAAGGTTGATCGTATATGAAGTCACGTATGGTATATGGGGCCATTCCGACCCGTTTTAGTGGTAAAAACAGGGAGTTGATTTTCCCCCATTGACGTATAATGGGGAGGTCGAAAAATTGACCTGACCTTCGATATCAAAATTCCGAGATATACAAATTGTAGCTACTAATGACCTAATAACATCCAGCGACTTTCAAAGACCTCCGACATCTACTGTAGCTCTGGCACGGTGACAAAGTTGCAAAAAAGTGACTTGAGGTTGGGTCATTCAAAGTGACCTGGTGACCTGACCTTAAAAGTTACGAGGTTAAAACTTGCACACCATGTGTAAAATTGATGAGGGAATAGTCGTACCAAATTTCGCGGCGCTACGCGACGCGGTGCTGGCACCTCACCCAGGGGCGCGGGAACTACTTTCCGACTGGGGGGGCACATCATAATAGAGATCAACCTAGGGTACCCCCAAATCTAGTTTTCTCACCGGTTTTAGGCCACTTATTTTTCACCCCTCGGCTTTTTCAACAAAAAAGAAAACATTTGCAAAAAAAAGTGTGATATTCCGTCTCAAAGCTGTGGGGGCACCGCCCCCACGGCCCCAGAGTTGGGGGGGGGGGGCAAGCTGCCCCCACTGCCCCCCCCCCCCGGCTCCCGCGCCTATGACCTCACCTTTTGGTGTAAATTATTTAAAAATCATAGGGTACAATTTCGGGTAATCGTGACGGACAGTTATTCAGCATTCAAGAAAATACACTGACGGCTCAGAATTGTACTCCGTGACCGCAGCGATATTACAACTTTATCATATCTGGGTAATATCTCTGTTCTTTAGGGAGATCCTAGCCAAGATACCATACTAGCAACTAAAATACAGCGAAAAATACATAATTTTGCTATACGGGCAAACTTTTGGCATTTGCCCACCCATTGAAAATTCGTCATCCGAGACCCTGCCGTTGTATTATTTCATATATATACAAGATCAGTAAGTAAAGTAGATAAGCTTTGTGACGTCTTCCATCTTAGCTAGGAGATCTGGTCCGTTCCGCACTCAGTGGCTACACCTTCACACATAGAAAAAATATACGTAACAAGATCCGTGACCCTTTTTCCTTGTTACATTTTCACAATTAGGTACAGAGAGAATTCACACTTGCTATATCATGTCGCTCTTTGGAGAGAAAAGTGTTGCTGAGAGAGCCTGAAGGAGCGGAGAAAAAGAGCCGTTTTTGCGCATATGGCGTCATTTATTCCGATCCGTCATCTCATGGCGAACGATAGTAAATCATCCTTTGAACTGGACCAGACAACGCTGGCCTGTCGAGGCCTCAGGGCTTGACTGATGCGTTTCGAAACTCGAGATATATCGCGCCCATAGGAGGGAACGAAAACTTAAAATTTACAAATACACCCTGTTCGTTAGGTATCATCTTTTTTTGCGTAACACACACATCACAAATAATTAAATAGGAAACACGTCCGAGCAAAATGAAGTTGCATTTATATCGGAAGACGCCTGGCCCTGGTCGTTTCCTACACGCTAACAACATAGTTAAGTTACTTCCGGGATACGCTCACTGCTTCCCCCGGTAGTGACGGACACACACCTCCATATGCATGTCAGTGGACAGTCACCATGCCACACCATCCTGTATTCATTCTATACGGTGAACTGATTGCCAGTCCCGCCCTTCCATGGTTCGCCGTTTGTCTGCTTCCATGCAGCGCCGCCGCCGCGCCGCCCGCCGGCGTCTCTGCCGACGGCCGGCGCAGCGCCGCGCGCCCAAGTTCAAGTGCGCCCGTGGCCCGGGGGTGGAGACGAACTTGGCACACCGACCAGTGAAAGTGGAGTATCGGGCGGCGACACGGCCGTCACGTGACCGGTGGGAGGCGCCGACCCGAGGGTCACGTGACGCGGGCCCGTAATTACGGAGGCTCCGTATAAATAGTATCTGAGGCGGGAGGGGAGCATCAGTGGTGCACAGCATCCGCCGTCGGACACAAACCGAGCGCCCTGCACGGCCGCCGACATGAGGGGATTTATCGTATTCAGCGGTGAGTCGACACTCGGACCGCCAACCACAGGGCTCAACACTTTACAGTGAAAACAGTATCTCGATAAGCTGCATTCGAATATAAAGACCGAAAACTTGGGAGGAACGATGCAACATTTGAGTATTGGAACAAATTATAAGAAAAGAACCAAATATCGCTACCTGATTCATTTAATCGGCTACTGATTATGCATTCTGCTAAGCTCGTGCAACTAAGCTTGTTTCCATAAAAAGTTGCCTGCACACCTAAAGTGCATTGGATATCTTTCTCTACCCCGTAATTGCATAAAATACCTACCTACATTAGTGTTTCATTTGTAGTCCAAACCGTCATGCTACACGACCCCAAAAAAGTTTTTTTTTGTTATTTGAGCGTTTTTGTGTTATTTTTGCCTCGTAGTTTTTTTTCCTGAATGTCTTATCGTCCGCACTTTGTCCCTGATACATCAATGCATCTGCAGTTAGATCAAGACGGTCCAACTGTAGGTAATGAGTCATCCCACAGCGAATCTCCAGGATCGCACCTCAGCGCAGCTTTGGTCGTCCTCAGAAGAGCTCATATGAATTGTTATTGGATCTCGGATCGTGTAAAGTGCAACTCTAGGCTCTAGCCGTCCCTTAGTGGATCATTTTCGACCATCCCTCAGAGCAGCTCAGGTAGTCCCTCAGTGCAACTTTGGTTTTCCCTCATGGCAGCTCAGAATAACCTGCATCCCAGACCGTCATGCAGATGAGACCGCCCCTCAGCAACCCTCAGACCGTCCTAGTTTTGCAGCTCCTCTTGTCCAGTGTATTCGTGTGAACGCGGTGCCGCTGATCGCCGACTGTTTCCGCTGTGCACAGCTCTGGCTGTGTCACTGTCCCCCTGTCCCCCATGCCCGCTGTCCCCCATGCCCGCGGTCCACAGCTCTGGCTGTGTCCCTGTCTCGCTAACAGCCGCCTGTTCCGCCTCATTCGCAGCGCTGGCCGCCCTAGCCACGGCTCAGAGCGGCTACAGCTACGGCGCCCCGCCCACCACGGCCAAGCCCGGCTACGACTACCAGGAGCCGAGCGACCCGTTCGGTGCCGGCAACAACCCCGGCGGCGCTGTGGTCAAGGTGAGGTCAAAGCCGCGACCCCGGCTGACCCGGCGACCCCAACCTGCCCAGCTGTTGTGAAGATGTCGAGGGCCGACCGGGGGTCATCTCGCTGAGAGTCGAAAACATGTCCCGTCGATGACGCAACTGCTCTGAATCTCTTCACGGAAACTTATTGCCCTATTATGTGTCATCTTTTTCGTGAATAAGATTCAAGTGCGACGACATTGAGCTGATTGGGGTATTATTTGGCAACACTAGAGCTCCATTGAAGTTATTTGGATGACAACCAAGAAGAGCTAGGAAAAGTGATCAAAAGTCCCCTGAGATGGCTGATCAGTCCTCGTAAATATTTGATCGTCTAACTTCTTTCTCGATTGATGTGATGGCATTTGGTTTTCTCTGATTGACTGAATGTCACCTTCTTTGACCGAGATTATTTCAGGTATTGCGGCTGGCGTTTGCTGAAACCCTTCTAATCAGATGTTTTTTCCAGAACCCATTCACTTTCACATGAGACCCCTACTATCATCAACGCCGGAAAATAGGAATGTTTCGTGTTCTCCCTTCCCACGGCTAGCCCAATCCGCTGAATTGAGCCGGGAATGCCTGGAGCCTGCCAATTTTGGACATTGACCAGCGATCAGCCCATCCAGATAGTGTAGGTATACTTTGTCATGCAATTATGGAGAGCTGTCAATCTTACATCATAGCTTACATATCCAGCCTTGATGTGTTTAACCTATAAGGTGTATGCAGTGATAAACGTTCTCGTCTTAACCAAAATGGTATTCCTTCAAACTTATGGCCAGAGTGCCCATTTTAGTCACCGCTCAGGCGACGCCGTCCTCTCCGCTGCCTTCACGCCCCAGCGGTTCTCCCTTACCCCCTCCACCGCCCCCTGAGACCGCCGTCAGCGACTGTGACCTGTCTGACCTGTGGGTGTGTCTGTGACGCCCCAGCCGTCCGCTGAGGAGGACCACCACCACGGCTCGTCGGACCCGCTGCAGTGGCTGCGTGACGCCGTGCCCGGGGAGCCCGGAGTCGACTACCCGATCTACGCCACCATCCCGCCCACCGGCTTCACCTGCGACGGACGCATTGCCGGTCAGTGGGCGGATGGCCGGCTGATCGCCCTCACACAGGGCCTCAGCTCAGCAGTATTCACTGATAGACGTCAAAAGGTCTTACAATTAGAACGGCACCTCATCCACAATGGACTATAAATATATGAATCATAGTTGTATTTCTCTAAAACGTTATTTCATTAGTGCAAATAGTAAGTCGTCAGTCGTATAGCTCGCTCTATAAACTGCAGTGTGCTCTCCTTTCTGATGTCTGATGAAGTTCATGTACTGGTCTGTGACTGCCGTCACTGTGTTGACCGTCCCTCCGTCCGGCGGCAGGTTACTACGCCGATGTGGAGGCCGGCTGCCAGCCGTTCCACGTGTGCAGCCCCGTGCCCGGCGGCGAGGCCATGAAGCTCTCCTTCCTCTGCCCCAACGGCACCATCTTCAACCAGGAGGGCTTCGCGTGTCAGTGGTGGAACGAGGTGGACTGCGACAGTGCCGAGCAGTTCTACTCCAAGAACGAGGAGATCGGCGTGGTGCCCGACTCGGCCGCCAGCAACAACGTCGGCAGCGTGGTGAACGGGCCGGCCAGCGAGCAGAACCAGTACCAGCCCCCGCAGACCACCCCGCGGCCCCAGTACCAGCCCCCGCAGACCACCCCGCGGCCCCAGTACCAGGCCCCGCAGACCTCGCGCCCCCGCCCGCAGCCGCAGCCTAGCCGTCCCCGCCCCCAGCCCGTGCGCCCGCAGCCGCAGCCCAGCCGCCCCCGTCCCCAGCCCGTGCGTCCCCAGCCGCAGCCCAGCCGCCCCCGTCCCCAGCCCGTGCGCCCGCAGCCGCAGCCCAGCCGCCCCCGTCCCCAGCCCGTGCGCCCGGTGCCCAACCAGTACATCCCGCCGACGACCACCACGACGACGCTGCGCCCGCCGCCGGGTCTCTACAACCTGCCGCGCAACTGAGCAGCCGAGGACCAGCCGAGTGCCAGGCCGCTGAGGCCGCCCTATTTATCGGAGTGAGTGTGAGCGTGAGTGAGCGAGTTCTGTATGCCAGTGGTGTTCATGGTGTGTGAGACTGAGCGGCGGAACGGCAGGAGCAGCGGTGCCTTCTGTCTCTGTCAGCGCGACCGCCCAAGGCGGAGCTGAAACTCAGCGAGTGATGCGTCTTTCTTCTTTTGTGTAGTGCTCGTTTAGGCTTGTCTAGTCATAAGCATCGAACGGTAGCGCTTATGGTTGGACTTGTCAGTGTTCAACGTCATGTGTGTGTCATTTCATAAACCAGGTCGGAACAAATACATGATATTTAGCATAATATAAAAACGCATTTAAAAACGAATGACGTTGAAGGACGACAGGCCGAGGACCAAGTGTATCGGTATGATACAGAGCGTGACCCAGGACCATGACTCGCAAACCTGCACAAACACCCAATTCGGTAGAGAGCTCAGAGTGCCGAGTGACAGCGCTGCCGACCTGCTATTTGGGGAGGCTGAAAGCCCCCGTTTCTCAACAAGCGACGTGAAGCAACAAAACAGCTGCAGAAAAGAGCAACAGCATACCAATTGTATCGGTCTATTTCAACACTATACGCATCTGAACTGGCACACTATAATATCGATCTGCATTGAAGCACTATCGTTCTTAATTGACGTGATGCATCATGCAATGCTCCGTTTTGACACAGTATGTACAGTTAAACAGGGCACTGGACAGACAAGAAGTGAGGAATTGTCTTACAATACTGTAGGAGCATAGGTGGCACGTGGCGCGACACGGTCTAGCATAGCATATAAGCAACGGCGTAAAATCTAAACCGATAGATACTAGTCGGGTACAGTCTAAAAGGATATCAAACAATACTGTGTGACACAATCACATTTATAGCACGGCAGATGAGATGCGTTAGCGTAAACTCATCTCATGCCAGACTATAGTCTAGCACAGTCTAACATGGCGATATGCGGTGAGGAACAGTCTACGACAGCCAAGCATTGCGGTACAGTCTAACACGACAGCAAAGTATTGCGGTACAATCTACCACTACAGCCAAGTAATGCGGCACAGTCTAACACGACAGTGAAGCATTGCGGCACAGTCTAACACGACAGCCAAGTATTGCGGCACAGCCTACCACTACAGCCAAGTAATGCGGTACAGTCTAACACCACAGCCAAATATTGCGGCACAGTCTACCACTACAGTGAAGCATTGTGGCACATTTTAACACGACGGGCAAGCATTGCGGCACAGCCTAACTCCACAGTCTAACACGACAGGGAATCAGTGTGGCACAGTCTACCAGGACAGCAAAGTAATGCGAAACAGTCTAACACGACAGGCAAGTAGTGCGGTACAGTCTAACAGGACAGGCAAGTAGTGCAGTGCAGTCTAACGCTGCAGGAAGTAAGTGCGGCACAGTCTAACAGGGCGCGCAAGTAGGGCGACACAGTCAAAAAGTAGGTAATGTAGGTAGTGCGGCAGTCTGGACAGTAAGTAGTACGGCACAGTCCAACACGTCAGGCAAGTAGTGCGGTACAGTCTAACGGGACAGGCAATTAAGCGGCACAAGCCAACATGACAGCCAAGTATTGCGGCACAGTCGAACACGGCATGAAACTAATGCGGCACAGTCTAACAGGGCAGGCAAGCAGTACGGCGCAGTCTTACAGGACAGGCTAATGGAGCAGCACAGTCTACAGTACTGTAGGCAGTGCGGCACAGTCTAACAGGTAAGTAGTCCGGTACAGTCTAACAGGACAGGCAATAAAGCGGCAATATCTAACAGGATAGTTAGATAACAGGAAGTGCGTGACAGTTAACAGGCAGGGGCGTAGCCAAGGGGGGAGGCCATAGGGGCCATGCCCCCCCCCCTGGAGCCCAAAAGGGCCCCCATCGCGGTGTCATAAGCACGGTAAGGGTCACGTTATTTGGGCCCCCTGCAAAAAAATAGTGGATGAAATCCGATGACTTTTTGGATTTTGAGGGGGTTTACCTTGGGCCCCTGTAAGTTTGGTCCCCTCCTGGAGGAAATCCTGGCTACGCCCCTGTTAACAGGACAGAAAGGGGTACAGTCGTCAGTCCTACGGGACAGGCAAATGGTGCGGCACGGTCTAACACGACACACATTCCAAGCCAGCCTCGCATGGCCAAAGCTACGTCCAAAGTGATGGGTAAAAGGAAAGGAAAGCTTAGGTATTGTTGGTAAAGTAGGTGCTGGAGTTGTGAGGGTGTGGCAAGTTTCTGCTAAACATAGTCACATTTCCTTCTGTCCGTATTATAGGAGTCACATTCTGCCAGCGCCCGAGCACTGAGCCCGACCATGGTTATTGGTTGTAGAGCTGACTCACCCGCCACCAGCCAGCCCAAAGCACGGCTGTCCTTTCGTGTGATACGCCTCGTCTCGGGCATTGTTCGCCGCCACCAAACGCCGGCAGACAGGCGCGCCGCTGCCCGCCTCATAAACGCATTATCAGCCGGCGGTAAACAGGAGAAAAACTCGGCCGAGGCGAGCGCCGGGAGGGTGGGCCGGTGCATACGGCACGCCAGCGGGCGGCGGCGGCGGCTGATCCAAACACGGGCGCGTCCCTCCAGCCGTGTCTGACCTGCCCAGGCTCCGAGCCCAGCTGCGCCTCCAGACCACCCGACCAGAGCATCACCGCGCTCTGAATTACCTACCGCAGACCGCTGAAAGCGCTGGGGCAGAGTTCACACGTCAGACCAGATCTCTGACGCTTTACACGGGCACGCATGATAATACACTGAATCATGCATTATGGAGCGAAGCTCGAGGTCCCTGTGTTCGAGTGTTATTTGTGATTTCACGGCCGGAGGTGCACTAGTGCCGCCACGGCGGGGTCGAGGCCAGGGCACGCAGCCGAAGGCCGCTCGTCGCTCCCTCCCCGGTCCGTCTTCGTGTTTGGGTCCTTGTCGCTTTACGCATGGAGGCTGGTGCTGATGTTCTGAAGTCAAATCGTGCATATATGAATTGTGATATGGATCGGAGGAGCTTCATGTTAATGCCAAGTTATTCTTATCTTCTTTTTTGGTTTTACAAGTGAAAATTATCCAAACAAACCAAAGTCCGTGACGGTAATGTGACAACGTGTGTTTACCGTCCTATTACCGCGCCCTGGACCACACATTACCATGACGTAACTGTGGGGCTGGCCGCGTGCCACTGGTGCCCGCCGTGTGTCTGTGTCTGTGGGTGGCTGGTCACACCGGTGCCAGGTGTGTGTCGCTGCCCGTGGATTGCCGACCGCGCCCGAGTCGTGAGTGCAGCGCTCTCGGCTCGGTTTCCACACCGTCATTAGGCCGGTGGACGGGCGCTGGTGAGCGCTGTGACAGGCGACCGAGCTGTCCGCGTGACGGCCGCCCCCCGCCGGGCGCCGCTCTGTGCCCGGTCAGCCGGCGTGACCGTGCGGCGCGGCCGACCCTGGCAGACCACCCAGCCGCCCCTGGCCCTCCCATCCTACCTCACCGACAAGACGCGTCACCGCCCCGCGCACACTAATTAAGCCGCTCAGCTATGGAAATTCATAGCTTTTGGAGTCGGACGACGCATCATCAGCCTGCGAAGGTCGCCGGAGCGGCTAAGTAGGCCAGCCGGCGGGCGGCGGGCTGCTCTCCGGTCGCCGGGAGGCCGACTTCCGGTCGGCCAGCGGTGCCGGCTGATGGAGCGACCCGGGAGTCGGTGACAGTCGGCCGATTACCCGGCGCTGGCTGCCGTCGGGGTCAGGGGTCAGAGCCGAGTCGAGTCGGCGGCCGTCGGCACCACCGCCGGCGGGCCGCCCGGAACAGGACGGCAGAGCGCCGCCGGCGGGCGATCCGACGGCTTGCGACACACGCGGAACGCACACCAAACCGCACCGTGACCATCGCGTGCTGAGCGGCGGCGGACAGCAGCGTCATCCGCGCCGTCATCAACCCGCGGCTAGTTGTCGACACTCTCAGCACGAGCTCAGCTCGTCGGCGCCGCCCATTCTCTTTGTTTTGTTTTTGTTGACACGTAGTAGAAGTGGTCACGATATCTCGTCTCACAGACCGCAGACGACGCACTCGGCTTGTTGTCTGGATATCTGAACAGGACGACTCGATGGGTAAGCGCATTTATTTTTGAGATACGATAGGTATCATTATAGGACGACAATGCACACTGAATATCATGCTGAATCAGTCACAGAGAATAGGCGCAGTTCAAACCCGGTGTGATGAGTTGCTGCGAGGCTGAGTTCATCTTCAAGCTGTTGTGACAACGAACACGCAATAAAACACATCGTACTGAAAATATGTATATAAAAAATATATCTCTTCGTTTTATACGCGATTGTTCTGATAGGTGTTTAACAACATTCAGCACCAAAGCAAGCGTTCAGCCCCATAGCGAACTTCCCTGTTCACTTCTCTTCGGCAAAATTTAAACGCTGATTTCGTTAATAAATTTAAAACGCTAATTTCAGCCCGCAACAGGACGCATGCAGTAGCAACAGACACCAGAATTTTGCTACTTTTTTTCGTTACCGGTGAGCACTACTGCTGCTGTATGTAAATTACAATTCAGGAAGAAGAAGAAAAAAAAATGCCGCAGCAGCCAATTTCGTTACCATTTCATTCCAATTATTTCATTCGGTAAAGCTCATGTCATCTCCTAAAAAGAAGAATAAAAGTGATGGAAAGGGGAGGTGAGCTGTCATCTCTGGAGTTGGCCAACTTAATGAGTTTCATCTGACGTAATGGGATGACCTGGTCACCGTCTGTGATCACAAAGGAGCCGCTGCTCGGCCGCCGCTGCTGTCCATGACGACGTCATGACGCGCCGCGTCCGCCTGCGGCGCTCGGCGGGCTCAGGGCCGGCCGGACGGACGGACCGGGGTCACGGCGGCGCAGCGGGCCGGGGGACGGACGGGCCTGGGTCACGGCGGCGCAGCGGGCCGGGGGACGGGCCGGGGTCACGGCGGCGGGCCGGGGGACGGACGGGCCTGGGTCACGGCGGCGGGCCGGGGGACGGACGGGCCTGGGTCACGGCGGCGGGACGGTGCCCGCAGGGCGGCGCTGCAGGGCGGAGAGGCGCCGTCCGACCGTGACCGCCGCCGACTGCCGCCGACCGCCGCCGGGCGCGCCCATCGCACCCAACCCGTCCCCGGCCGCCGACAGGGACCCCGCCCAGCGGCCTCCCACGACCTGCCAGTTCCGTGTGGGCCCAGAGCGGCCTGGCCACAGCGCGCAGCGGAGACTCCGGCGGCACGTGCCCCGCCCGTGAGCTGCCGCGTGCTGACGTAGGGGCGGGTGGGGGATCGGTCGACTGCTTGCTCCCCGGCTGT